AGTATATGAAACAACTCCAGGCATCAGAGGACAAGAGTATAAGATTGCGTTCCTGAGAGAAAGGAATCAAACAAGGTATAAGGGAGCCCACAGTTTTTCCACTGTACTGCCTGGACCCAGTTTCTAGGCTGTAGCGCAGGCAAGGGGAACCCTAGCAGAGGCCAGCCTCTTGGAGTTCAGGGAGAGAGAAGTGGTTAGAATATTCTGGACAGAATATCTGAAAGAGTTCTGGATATCTGAAAAGGATATCCTGGAATCCTTGGCTGAATACTGATATGCACATCCAAGCAATGAAACCCCATGAGCCTGAGGAAAGAACCACCACACAGCGGCAGGCCCAACAATTTCCGGAGTTTTAATGGGGCTGGGAAGAATTCATGTTCCCATAAGTCAGGGTGAACATATTTTGTAATAAATGCATCAGAAAGTGTCTTCAGAAAGCAAGTATCTTAATAGTGGTGCTGAAAGATAGCTGCAGACTCACCCTGAGAAAGTATAAAAGCAAGCATTGAGGATTAAACTGATCCCAAGTTACTACATGCCAGGATGAAGTCTACCACTCTCTTTAAGAAAAACATCACCCAGTCAAGTAAAATTCACATCTGGCGTCTAATAGAAAAAATGAAGTCCAGCAAGACAACAACAACAACAACAGAAAAAGTGACCAATGGCAGAGAGAAAATTAATCCATAGAAAACGACCCAGAGTGACAGAGATGACATGATTAGCATTCAAGAATATTGGAACTACTATAGCAAATATACTGCATATGCTCAGGAATGTGGAAGAAAATATGAACATGATGAGGCTAGAAATAGGAGATATAAACATGACCCAAATGAAACTTCTAAGAATGAAAAAAAATATAATAACTAAAATGAAAAATATAATGAATGAGATTAACAGGGGACCACACACATCAGAGGAAAGGTCAGTGAATTTAGAAATAAAGCAATAGGAAAATATCCAAAATAAAGAGAAGAGGGGTGCGTGGGTGGCTCAGTTGGTTAAGTGTCTGCCTTCAGTTCAGGTCATGATCTTCAGCTCAGGGTCCTGGGATCAAGCCTCACAGTGGGCTGCCTGCTCAGCAGGAAGCCTGCTTCACCCCTCCCATTCCCTCTGCTTGTGCTACCTCTCTCGTTGTCTCTCTCTCTGTCAAATAAATTAATAAATAATCTTTTAAAAAAAATAAAGAGAAGAGAGAAAAGGACTGAAAAATGAACATATCAGTGACCTATAGGGCAACATCAAGTGATCTAACAGATATATAATTGGAGGACCCCTTCTCCCCAAAAGGGAGTACAGGAAAAATATCTGAAAAAAATTATATTTTTTTTCAAAAACTGGCAAAACCTATAAACTCACTGATGCAAGAGGCTCAGTGAACTCTCAAAAGAATAAACTTTTTTTTTTTAATTACACAAAGGCACATCATACCCAAGTTGCCGAAAACCAGTGATAAAGAAAAAAACCTTATGGGGTGCCTGGGTAACTCAGTCGATTAAGTGTTCAACTCTTGATTTCGGCTCAGGTCATGATCTCAGGGTTGTGAGATGGAGCCCTGAATCAGGCTCCATGCTGGGTGTGGAGCCTGCTTAAGATTCTCTCTCCCTCTCCCTTCAGAAGAAAGAGAAAGAGAGGGAGAGAGAAATCTTAAAAATAGCCAGTGGACAAAGGACATTATATACAGAGGAGCAAAGGCCAGGTGGCAGTCCTCTTAACATAAAGTACACAAACCAGAGCACAGTGACAACCTTAACCACTGAAAGAAAAAACTATCAATCTAGAATTCTATATCCAGCAAAAATATCTTTCAAATATGAAAGCAGGATAAATCCTTTTACAAATTAAAGCTGAGATAATTCATCATGGGCAGTCTTGCTTAAGAAATGTTATAGGAAGTTTTCCAGGATAAAAGAAAATGATGAAAATCTGGATCTACACAAAGGAATGAAAAGCACTGGGAATAATGGATATGTGGGTAAATTGAAATACATTTTTACTCATTTTTGAAATCTCTTTAAAAATGTCGACTGTTTAGAACAAAAAAATTTTCACTATTGTGAAGTTTATAAAATGTGAAAATAAAATGTATGACAACTATATCACAAAGGACAGGAGTCAGAAAAAGAATATATGGCTATAAGATTCTTTACACTACATATGAAGTAGTATATTATTTTAAGATAAACTATGATATATTAAAACCAATAAAATATGTTTATATTTACAATAAAACATATTGTAAACCATAGATTAATCACTAAAAAATAAGAGAAGTATGGCTAATAAGCCAACAATAGCAATGAAATGGAATCATGAAAATAATTAACACATGATAAGGCAGAAGAAGAAAAAACAGAAATAAAGGACATGTGGGACAATTAGAAAATCGACAGCAAAATAGCAGACTTAAATTCAATGATATCAATGATTACATTAAATATAAGTGGACTAATAAATGGACTAAAAACTTCAACTAGGAAGCACTGTCATATTAGATTTTAAAAAATCAATATCTAACTATATGCTGCCTCTAAGAAACACACTTTTTTTTTTTTTTAAAGAATTATCCACTTATTTGAAAGAGAGAGAGATTGCAAGCAGGGGAAGGACAGAGGGAGAGCAAGAGAAGCAGACTCCCTAGTGAATGTGGAGCCATCACAGGGCTCAATCCCATGACCCTGAGACCATGACCTGAGCCAAAACTAAAAGTCAGATGTTCAACTGACTCAGCCATCCAGGCACCCTAAAACACACTTTAAATATGAAGACACAGGTTAAAAGAAAAGTATTGAAAAAAAGGCCAAGCAAACACTGATCAAAACAAAACTGGGGTGACTACATCAAAGTAGACTCTAGAACAAGGACTATTACCAGGGATAAAGAGAGACATTTTATAATGCTAAAGGAATAGATTCATCAAAAGGATATTCCAATCCTAAATGTAGATGTACCTATTAATAGAGATCCAAAATATATGATATGATATAAGTGAAAACTAATATAGGTGAAAGGAGAAATGGACAAATCCACAACTATAGTTGGAAATTTGAACATTCTCTTCTCAGTAATTGATAGAAAATGTAGACTGACAATCAGCAGGAATGTAAAGATTCAAACCATCCCATCAACTTTTTTGACACAACTGACATAATTACAAAACTTCACCAAACACCTTGTCTTCTGTACATATAAACCACTCACCAAGACAGACCACAAAACAAGTCTCAATATACTGTAGTGGATTGAAATAATACAAAGCCTTCTCTTGCACTACAATAGAATTAAGCTAGAAATTTTTTTAAAAGATATGTGAAATATCCTCAAATATTAAGAGATTAAACAATGCAATTCTAAATAACCCATGGGTCAAAGAAAAAGTGACAAAGAAAACAAGATATTTTGAACTGAATACAAATGAACCTAACATATCAAACTTTACAGTAAGTAGAAGCTAAACCAGTGCTTAGAGAGAAATTTATAGCATTAAATGTTTATACTAAAAAAAAGTATCAAATCAATGATCTAAAAACACCTAACTACAAGAGAGTAGGAAAAAAAGAGAATTAAAAGCAAAGCAAGCAGAAGGAAAGAAACAGTAAAGAGCATAAATCAATGAAATAGAAAATAGAAAAACAAAGACCAATTCAATGAAACTAAAAGCTCTTTCTTTAAAAAAAAAATAAGTATAATTGGAAAACTCCCAATCAGGAAAAAAAAAAAAAAGACAAAATCACGGATAGGAGGCATCAAAGACTAAACTTCACTACAGCTTCTACACAATTCAAAAAGATAAGCGAATGTTATAAACAAGGTACAGAGGCTTCACTGATAATTTCTACCAAACATTTAGGGAAGATAAAATATCAGTTCTACACAAAATACTCAGTGTAATTCATCACATTAGATAGACTAAAAAAAGAAAGGTCATATAATCATTTCAACAGATGTATAAAGAACTTTTAACAAGTATAATACCCATTTATGATTAAAAAAAAAACTCTCAGCAAACCTCCTCAACTGGAAAAAGGCATCTATAAAAAAACCCATGGCTAGCGTTGTGCTTCATGGTGGAAGACAGGATGCTCTTAGACTAGTAACAAGGCAAGGGTGTCTGCTTTCACCATTTCCACTCACCATTGCGCTGAAGGCCCAAGCTCGTGGAGTACGGCAAGAAAACAAAGACCATGAGCACTGAGACTGGGAATGAGAGGTAGCATGTCAGACCCCACCCTCATCTCCATCAAAGTTGTAATGATCGAGTTAAACCCTGCACAGTGCTTAGAAGAGCTCTTGGCACATAATACATGCTCAGTAAGTATTCACTATTGTCGTTAGCTTAAATGATTACAGAACAGAACTGAGACTATATAACGGGGGCCTGGCCTGGCTGGAGGAGGGGTTGTGGGAAAATGCCCGGTGGCCTCAGAGGCTGCAGGTGTTCACATGACCAGAGGGTCGGGCTGGGGGCGGGGAGGCAGGGAGTCACTCTCAGGGAGAAAATGAGCCCTCACATTTCTGTTTCTCCTCACAAAGGTGTTTGGGACACCAGGTTGTGTATGATCCTTTCACGGCCTTGGGAAGAGCCGGGGCAGATGAGTTCTCCGCTGAGGTGGAGAAAGACAGCACAGGATGGACAGGATGGGTTCCGAGGTCTCCATCCCGGACCACTGTACTTACTATTACCCCATCCTCCCTTTCCACTTTAATATGGACTCCCCCCACCCTAAGGACCCCCTGCAGCCATAGAGGGTGTTTGAACTTTGACCAGTCTGGGTGGGCACATTTGTGAGAAGGCTGGTCTGGAACACAAGTAGGCCTTACTATGGAATGGTAGGCTGAAAGCCCTAGGGATTTATCCCCTTGCTTTATGAGGTTGTTCCATCCCACAGATTTGGTAGGCTCCCAGAAGACTAAAACGGAAAATATCCAAATCCGATCACGGCCCATAATAAGTGCTCAGAAAAGGTTTACCTGAGAGATGTCAGCCGGGCCGGACCCCAGAGGAGATACGAGTGACTTCGATGTGAAGAAATGATCACACACAAGGAAACCTCATTGTAAGCTGGAATGTGCTGTGCAGCTGTGATGTCTGAGACGACAAGGAGACCAAAAAAGAAGGCTGGAGCAAAGTGTCCCTTGAGTGAGTGTGGAGAGTGTTGGGAAGAGACTTGGAAACAAGAAAAGAGGTTTGAAAAATCATGTCGCATGTGGGATGATGGGAGTGGGGCTTGGGAGAGAAGGAAGTTTCTCTAGTGTCTCCTGGGGTTGACAGGCCCTGTGCTAAGTGTTGGTCAGGAGGAGATAAAGACACAGCTCCACCCCTAATGAGCTCGTGGCCTTATGGGGACAACGGGCATGTGGATACTTTCCATATATTCCAGCGAGGGCTGGGATGGTGGTGAGTCCATGGTCTGGGGAGCCACAGAGGAATTCTGCAAAGGGCTGAAGGAAGCTGCTACTGAGCTCAGGGAAGAGAGGCAGTAGAGAAATCTAGGTAGTAAGTGTAAGAATGAAGTAAAAGAGGGTAATGGGGCCAGACAGACTGATAGTGGGTGTGTGGCAGGGGGTGGCAATTTTAGATATGGTACTCAGGGGAAGCTTCTCTGAGGATATGACATTCCCTAGAGACCTGAATGATGAGAAGAGGCTGCCCTTTGATAATGTGGAGGAAGTGGAAGCAACAGTCAGTGCCAAGGTCCAGAGGCAGGCATGAGATCGGCATGTGCAAGGACTAGAAAGAAGGACTGATACACTAACACCCTGAGGCCAAGGCGGAATGGTATGAGATGGGTTTGGGGAGGAGGAGGGGCCTCATCAGATAAAGTCTGGAAGGTCAAGGTAAAGAGTTTGGATTTTATTCTAAGTGTCTCATTTTGCCTCCTCCCAAAGTGGTCAGCAACCCTGATTTGACGCTGTCTCTGAAGCAGAGCAAATTTACATGTTGACAAGTACAAAACCTCACAGTTTAACGTTCTTCTGGCAAATCCATGGTAGAGTCCCCTCAACCACAGTCTTACCAAAGTTTGAACCCAACTAAAGCTGGCACCCCCCAGCCCCCGCCTGCCGAGAGGGCATCTCTGGACCATTAGGACTTGACCGGATTTGAAACAAGTGCCACTCTTTTCTGGATTCTAGGTCGCATCTGGAGGAATGACACTGCCCTTGAAGGAGCCGGACTGGGTAGAGCAAGGTGGAAGAAACTTCCAAGTTTCCTATTCAAAGCTCAGATTATTGCTGGGCCGTCCCCTCTCTTCTCTACTTCCTACTCTTCCTTGGGACCAGGGAGCACAGGACAGCTCTGGTCCCCAGGGCCCTAGACAAATGCTTACCTGATATCTTCAGGAGCATGAGGTGGGGGGTGGAAAGGGGGGAAAGGACCCCACTGGCCCCTCCAGCTGGGAGCTAAAACGGAGGCCCCTCCTCCCTGCCGATGTTCCATCTGGGAAAGGTCACCGGGACATTGGCCTCACCCCGGGGTGGGCAGAGACAAACGCCGTGGGAGGGGCAGGGGGCCTTGTGGGCACTATGTGCACGTGAGCCCTGACCCGGGGAGGAGAGGTCGCCTTCCCACAGCCCCACCTCACACATTCCTTCGGCATCTCTGGGAAATAATCACACCCCCCCAACACTGAAGAAACACAGTCAACAGATTCCGGTTTCCTAGATACGCCAGTGGCTTCTAAAAATAGCCAGGCAATGACAAAGCAAATTGGCGTATGGACTGCACATAACTCCAGCACCAGCTTGCCTGGCGGCACTCGAGGCTTCCCGTGGTGGGCACTTCCTCCTCTTCCCTCTCCTGTTTCTGAAACAGTCTCTCGTTGCTGAACACCGCAGGCCAAGTGTGAGCGAGAGGGGTGGCTGGAGCCCCCGCCATGGGTCCCACCCAGGGCTGGTGCGTCCTGGTGGAGCATCCCTTCCCTGTGGTCAGCCCCACACTCACACTGAAAGCCCACCCCGTCACGCCACCAGCAGCTGTGTGTGTGTGTGTGTGTGCACACGCACCCCAAAACCCTCCCAAGGAAACAAACCCTTTCCTTTTTGTTACCAGATGGGGCTGTCCTGGCATTCCACCCAGAGATCACTCTCCACTGGGGAGAGGTCACTGCCCACGAGACTTGTGCCTGTGACTTAGTCCATTTCCTAGCCCCCAGGAGGCAGACTTGGCAAGGTATCCTCCTGTCCCAGTTCCTTCATTTGCAAACCCTATATATGAGGGGCTGACTCCACACACTTTACCATCTTCTTCTCTCTACTCTTATTCTGAACTCTGTAAACCAATGGAGGAAAGAAACTCAGATGGCTAGAGTAACTTGCCCAAGGCTATGGCTAAGAAAGTTCCACTGGAATTCACTAGTACAGCCCTGTGGCATGAAGGCCCTGCAAAACCACCACCGGGATCACAGCTCCTCTTCAAGGGGCTTCTGCTTCAAAGGAGCTTGGGTCAGGGGCAGGCAGGTACCAAACCCCATCTCAGAAGGTCCAGAGGCTCAGAGGGAAGGATCATTGGCAGAAGTGGGGCAGGACCTGGTGGGTCAATCAGGGATGCCCTGGCACCCAGAGACCAGCAATGGGACTAGCCCCTCACTGATGGAGCAGGGGAGGGAGCCCCAAAAGTCTGATCAAAGGAGTTGGGGCTACCAGGCAGGAGTGCTCAACATGGAGCAGTGCCCAGGACAGTGAGGATGAAGGGAGGAAATAACCCAGTCTCTCTTCTTTTCACCCTCAGGTCCCCTGCTTGGGCCTCACCTGGATGCCTGGGCATAGAGGAGACCCAGAGGCTTAAGGGTAGACAATGGATCTCCGGGGACAAACAGAATGACCTGTGCGGGAAAGAAGTAAGGTACTCCAACAGCTCAGGCCTAAGTCCCCCTAGATGCTCAGTGTTCGCTAAGCCAGAGTCAAGAGAAGGCAGAGAAGGGCTGTGTGGCCTTTAGGAAGGAAATGAAGAGAAAGATACGCAGGAGAAGTGGGAAACGTGAGCTCTTTAGACAAAACCCTTAATCTTGCAACTAATTTTAAAAATTATTTAAAAAATCATTTGACCCAACAGCTAAGATTTAATCGGCCGTCTCTGCCTGGATCTCATAGTCTGCATTTCCACGCCCTATGGAACTAGCCCCGTGTCTATCACTTGTTAGTATCCACGGTTTGGTGAATGAATGACAGATTCCTTCTCACCTGGTCCTGAGGACACACACTCTACCTGTGGGAAGCATAGCACTCAACATGATCAGAGACACCTAGCCCATTACAAAGGACAGGATCAGTGGATATTAATAATTAAGAGTTGTCATCCATCGGTCATGCTCCCACATGTCGGGCCGGGGCTTTGCATGCCTTATCTCATAGAACCCTCCCAATGACACAATGGGACAGGCAAGGTCCTCATCCCATTTTACAGATGAAGGAACTCAGGCAAAGAGAGAATGTTGGTCCCACACCTCTTGGCCCTCGGAACCGTGTCTTGCACGTGCTGCGTTTCCTAGGTTCCAGGATGAACTGGCTTGCAGCTGGATTCAGCCGATGGGAAGGACTGGCAGAAGCCTGGGGGGCTGGGGGGAGGCGAGGACCTGGTAGGCTGTGGGGTATCTCCCTCCAGACAAGCCATCATTATTCTGCCTCCTGCTAAGTGATGCCAGTGGGAGGCCTCCTACAACACCAACCCCCCACCCCCCAGGAGCAGCGGCTTCCTGCTAATCCCTGATCACCTCACCACCCCCAGTCTGGCTTCTCACTCTTTACCACCATGAATAAAGTACTCCCGAGTTATCTCAGCTGCCATGTCTTAATTCAGAAATAGTCTTAGTCCTAACATCTCACTTTACTGAGGCCCAGAGAGGCTGAGTGGCTTGCCTGAGGTAACACAGCTAGTCAATAAAGGCAGAGTAAAGGTTCAGAGTACAGATCTCCCAACAGTTCCCTGGTGATGTTTACCCCCTATGGCACCGTCAACCTCCTGATCTGTCCCAGGCTTTGCATAGGAGCAGTTACTGATTATGGCCAGAATTGACTTTCCCTTCTTGCATTGGAGCTGAAAAGGCATCCTGGCCTCGCCTCTCCCAGAGTTGTTAGGAACATCAATAGGACTCTTGGGGAGATAAGGTGAGTGCTGAAATAGAAGGCATTACGGTAGAGACTACAGCGGGAAAGCACGTGTAGGTAAGCAACTATTTTTTAAACAATTTCAAGTTACCACAACAGCCAGGGGTGTGTTTTCCTCAAGGCAGCTGAAAAACTCAACTCTGCAGACATTTCTGTCTCTGACGGTTTGTTGCCTTGAAGCCCAAGAGGGCTCCCAGGCAGCCCTGATTTGTCCAAGATGAACACAAAGGCAGCAATGGTGTAGCGAACCCAAGGCCCTGGGGGGCGTCATGTTTAATTCCTGAGCAGGGTGGCAGTAGCACCTGGAAAGAAAGGGAGATGGTCAGAGGGATCTGCCTTGAACTCAAGGTCAGACGAAGATTCTAGCCAGTTCCAACACAGCTAAGCGGTTCTCAGTGTGTGTTCAGAGGACAGGCGATGTGGTCAGCGGTCGTGGCTAGCAGAGCAGGGACTCTGAGCAGCGCCTTGTGCCGAGAGCCCAGGTGAAGAGCCCCCCCGCGGTTCCTCCATTCTAGGCATTCATTCAATGATGTTTACTGAGTACGTGTAGCATAGTATTGAGAATGAGTTCTTCTGAGTCAGAGACCCTAGGTGCAAACCAGGGCTCTGCTCCTTACTGGCTGCATGACTGTGGGAAAGACACTTATGCTCTCTGTGCCTTTAAAGGGATAATAACAGCATTTATCTCCCAGGTGGTGAGAAGAATTAATTTAGGACATGGAAGGGGCTGGATCGGTGCCCAACATACAGGACGCATGCTGATGCCGTGCTTGTTGCCTTTGGCTGGGAAGTCAGATCTGTATGCAAGTTCTGTTCTAGCAGGTGGCAGCTGTGTGACTTGAGGCAAGTTACTTGACCTCTCTGAGTCACGGTTTCCTCAGTTACAGAAGAGCAGTCCCTGTTTTTATATGAGGGTTCAGTGAGACAGCAATGGGAAGTATCCAATCAATGTTGATTGAGTGTCTCCTCTGTGATGAAACAGATCAAGACCTCACGCTTAAGGCTTCCGTCTGGGGGTGAAGCAGGTGCACACGTGTCCACGCACGTGATCATCCCCGCAGGGTCTCAACAGACACTGGGCACGAGTCGACAGGCCTGGTTCTGTGCTGGCTCTGCCCTCGTTGTTGGGTAGCCATGCTCCCTGAGCTCTCAACCTCCGTTTCCCACCCCTAAGATGAAGGGGTTGGAACACTGGGCCACGAGAGCCCCTTACAGCTCCACCCCTCCGGGACACGTTCTGTAGGACCCTCTGGACTCCAGGCTCAGACAGTCTTGAGAACCACCACGGTGGAGTGAAGAGGGCAGGCTCCCTGGGGTAGCTATGAGAGCATGAAGCTAGACAGCACTGAACAGCCAGCATGCCCTCTATGGTGGCTTCCCGCCTGCATCTCTTATCCAGCCAGTCATCGCCATCCCATTCCACAATACAGGGCGAGTGGGAAAAGCTGAGAGGTGCCCCCAAACCATCCCATATTCTTCCTCCATCCTGGGTCCCAAAATCCCTTCCTCCCATTCTCCAACGATATAGGACCTTGACACACAGTCGTGTGTGTGTGTGTGTGTGTGTGTGTGTGAACGCGCGCACGTGCGCATGACCTTTTCACTTTCATCTCCAGGATTCTAATCTCCGGCGTTCTAACACCTGGGTCAACATCTTGGAAATGTATTTCTGTTCCTCCAGCTAAGGAAGCAGCGCACGTTTCTGTCAGTGAAAAGCCAGGAGGGGCCTCGCTACCTCCTTGGAAGCTCTAAGCCCCTCAGTAGAAGGATAGGAGGCGTGTTGCCCAGGTAGGTGAACACCGCCCCCACCCTGCCCCCACCTTCCCGCGCCACAGGCAGGCAGTGGGATGGGCAGAAGTGCCACTGTGAGCACCACTGGCCAGAGAACATGACAGTGACCAGCTGCGAGGCAGAGGCTCCGGGCCTGAGATTTCAAATCTCAAAGAGATCCAAGAGCCATCCCTCAGGCAAGGGACATGCCCTCGGGCAGGGACCACCAGCAAGCCCTAACCGGGCTCTGCCCTGTCCCTGAGCGGTCCCAGGAGATGGCTCCCGTGGGCACTAGCAAGGAGGGCTCTGCACTGCGTTTCCCTTCCTCCCTCCATTCGCATCCCGTCCACAACACCCGGTAGCCACCTGGGCCAGGCCCGGAGGGTGGGACTGCAGAAGAGAGGTGAGTAAGGAGAGCACCGTCCCTCCGAAGAACCCACAGCCTGGAAGAGAAGGTTGGGGACGGCTCAACAAATGGCGACAGAGCGTGCGCCAGGTGCTTTAACGCAGCTGTGGGTGCGATGTTCTGGGAGCGGGGAAGGTTCCTGGGCACACGAGACCTGAAGAATGCTCAGTTCAGAGAGGTGGAGACTGGGGTTCCATCAGCCTGCCCCGATCCTCCAGAAGCATTTCCAGCTCCCACTTCGGGCACGGGTTTTCTCTGCTGGCCGTTAGCACGCCCCCAGCTGGGAGCTCAGCTCTGGAGCCGCCCCACAGCCACCCCAGCCCACAGCCAAGGGCCTCCTGTGCCGAGCAAAGTCCTCCCCGTGAGGATTCTGCCAACGTGGAGGACCGGGACTCAGACATCCTCAGACCATTATAGTTTAGGAAGAGCGGAGATGTCGGGGCTGCCGCAGCTCTGGCTTATTCCAGGACACGGTGCACTTGAGAAATAATAGCCTGCCTGTCTTCCCTCCAGACATGGGCTCCCTTGCACCTGACTCTCTCATTTCCCTGGAGGGGGAAACATATTGCTTCTGACTATGACCTTGAGAGGGACACGCGCATCCACCTTCCGGACCAGCCATCTCCTACCTGGGGCGGGAGCCAGGCCCCACATGGAGGTGCACTCAGGAAGGGAGCGCTTCTGAGGAAGGATCCGTGGAGCCAAGGCCTTCCTGACCCCAAGGCCTTCACTGTTTGTCTCCACAGTCGGGCCACCCTCTGTGTCCAGGAGCCAGCATGATGCTGGTCACGTGTCAGGCGATGATTCAGACATTACAGCAAATGCTCCCTTGACCTCTGTGGTCAACTGACCAGTGGGGAACGGGGCAGAGCAAGGAAGGGGCCAGCCGACCTGGCTTCCTACACAGGGCTGCCCACACCCCTTTGCCCCCGGCCAAGGCTGTGAGCGGCCTCTCCTTGGGCACTGGCAACCCCAGAATGTGTGCCCATATCATGCCAGACACCAAGACGTGCTGAACTAGACCAACTACAAATAGGTCTTGGCCCTGGCCGTGGGTTTCTCTGGGGGATGAGGTCAAGTCTGCCTTCATCGTGGCACACTTAGGCTAGGGGTCTGAGTCACGTTCTCGTGCAGAGAGGGAGAAGCCAGAGGGCCCCCCTGATCAAGAGTGGGCACTGCCCATCACAGTCCAGGGGCCAGAGCCCAGCTCTAGGTCCTGCCTGGGTCAGGGGTCGCCATCAGAGAAAACTCCCCACCAGGCCACACCCATCCCTTGCCTGGGCTCACTCTGATACTCACTCCCCTAGCAGGTCAGATGGATCTGCCACTAGAAGGAGGGGCTGGGTACTGGCAAGTCACAGCTGACACGTATCACGCTTGTCTGTGTCAGGCAATGTGCTCATGGTTTACATGGGTTAACTCACCGAACACCCACATGGACACTATGAGAGATACTGTGACTCTCCCCGCTGTGTTGACGAGGCACTGAGAGGTTATGAGGCCTGCTCAAGGTCACCCAGCTAGCAAGTGGCGATGCCATGATTTAAACTCTAGGAGTAGGAATTTAGAGCCTGCACTCTTACCCACTGCATTACTCACTCAAATACCTCATTTAACTTGGGAGACACCACAATGGCTTCTTCTAACTAGCAATTTCATTGGTTAACAGCGCACGCTCTGGAGCAGATCTGGGTTCTAACTGTGTCCCCTTGGGAAGGTCTTTTTGTTGCTCTGGGCCTCAGTTTCCTCATCTACAAAATGGGATAAGAGCACCTGCTTCACGAGAAGTGAAAATAGGATCATGTACTTAGTACAGTGTCTTTTCACCAGTAAACAACTCCCAGAGGTTAGCGATTAATCATTTACAAACGCATTTTCTGGTCTGCGCATAGGTGATCTGCCCAATACTTAACCGATTATTAGCTGTGTGACCCTGGGCAGGCCATTTCATTGTTTTCTTTCTGTAAAACACTGGATGGCATAGTGCATTCCCCAAGCAAACCCAGTCTGGGCAATGGGGAGAGGGCACCTTCCAGCTCGCCTGGGAATTGAAACTTCATCCCAGAAAAGCCACAAAGTAAACATCTACACACACACACACACACACACACACACACACACACTGAGATGCAAAAAGTCTGAGATGCAAAAAGTCTGTGACCTACCCACGGTCTCTGGGCCAGTGTGGTTCCCCCACCCCCACATCTGCCCTGGCTTCCTTTCCTGCCCTATCTCCACTTCACTGTTGTCCACTTAGCACCTACTGACTTACTCTATGTT